ATTTCATAATTCAACAATAATGGAGAGATTGAATCATTGATCAAATTGATTTCCATTCTTGATTCTTTATTTAATCAATATCGAGTTAGATAATTTGTCGACTCTATTTGAATCGTAGACGTAGGGGGAGAGGGGGAGGGGGAGAGAGCCAAACATTGGATTGATCCCTAGGAATTGCCTAGAATTCGATCGTGCAAAGATGTTGCATCAAGATGTAGCAATGGCATATTTTCGCTGAATTCCAGTTTCAGAATTCGTTCGATTTCCTAACGCGATTTTGAATCGTCGACACAATTGCATTACGCGTGGTTACGCGTGTTTCCGCGAGGAACGTGAGCCGTGTCACGTGCACGTACGCATGGATCGTGTCGGGACACATGTTTGCCGACGTGTATGCGGCGCGTACGACAAACTGATTACACGTTTAATTAGCATAATACGATGAGAAAATAAGACGTTTTGTTTGCTCATTAATCGAGAATTTTTAGGTTACGAAACATTATTACAACGGTACGATAAAAATAAACGCTAAAATTCAATCAAAACAGCCAGGTTGGAGAACATTAATATTAATTTTCATAGAAACAGAAATTATATATCCGATCATTAAAATTAAGATGGTAAAAATGAAATTCAGATAAAAATATTTTCTCATATGATCCTGATTTTAGTCTCAACTATTAAGACTCGCAAGACAAATAATATGACCGAGTTGCTACAAGTGCTTGTACAAGTAATTTTATTAATTTTTCTTCAAAAAAAAAAAAATCCCAAATCTTTCGTTTCCAAGTGATGTCCAAGTAGCTCCATTATAAATAAATTTATCGAAGACAGAACTTCCATCCATCCCACGAATCATAATTTAAAACACATCTCTCTCTCATTATTCACGTTATGGTCTCCGGTTTCGCCAAGCTCCAGGCAATTTCTTGGACAACTGCGTTGTCCAATCGTCCAACCAATCCGTCTTCAGTCCAGAATCGGCGCGGAATTACGAAACTCGAGCCTCCTTCCGCGATCCATCGTCACAATCGGCCGATTCCCACAGCGCCAGCGGCCGTTTAACGATCCGCCGACGTCCCATTATCGATTATTCTCGGTTATGTGCAAACACTCCCCCACGATAACGCCGCGTGTCGAATCAAGACACGGCTAATCGCACTCGCGATTTCCATGCGTGTGAAGGGGGGGGGGGGGGACGTGGCTCTGGAGGAAGTGGAGGAAGTGGAGGACGAGGAACGTTCGACGGGTTTTGGGTAACTGGGTCGAATCTGATCGCTCGTAGCCAAGGAGATGAACTGGCTTGGTCGAAGGAAAGAGGAAATTGTGAGATCTATTTTGCTCAAATTTGTTAATAATCTTCTCTTGAATCGAGGATTTGTTTCGTTCAATTTTGATAAAATTTTCAATATTTATTCACATTCCATTCTCATTACGTCAATCTTTCCTATTTGGATGTAATTAACAAGTATTTAAATGCTATAATATAAAATATAATGGTGTGCAAATACTTTTTGTAATTATTGTAAACTCGCTTATATTCTTCCAATTAAAACAATTTTAATTGTCTGAAGAGGGACACACACAGTCTAACCTTTCGTTAGTTCGATCAGAAATCAAATATAAACTTAACCTAACGTAATCTTTTGTTAGTTCGATCATAAATGAAATATAAACCCAACCTAACCCAATCTAATCTTTCGTTAGTTCGATCAGAAATGAAATATAAACCCAACCTAACCCAATCTAATCTTTCGTTAGTTCGATCAGAAATCAAATATAAACCTAACCCAACCTAATCTTTCGTTAGTTCGATCAGAAATCAAATATAAGCTAACCTAATCTTTCGTTAGTTCGATCAGAAATCAAATATAAACCTAACCTAACCTAATCTTTCGTTAGTTCGATCAGAAATGAAATATAAACCTAACCTAACCTAACCTTTCGTTAATTCGATCAGAAATCAAATATAAACCTAACCTAACCCAACCTAATCTTTCGTTAGTTCGATTATAAATGAAATATAAACCCAACCTAACCTAATCTTTCGTTAGTTCGATCAGAAATGAAATCGAGTTTCGAACAAGAATGAACAAATCGACCCCGATAAACGAATGATTCGAATCACTTCTCCAGTGCAAAAAGTTGGTCAAAATTTTCTGGATAACACTTACCTCGTGCGCCTGGTCCTCGATGCTCCTGAGAACCGCAAGATTCCTTATAGTGGCGCGGCGGGACTCGAACGATGATTCGAGCCTGGTGGCTGCGTTCCCGACCTCCTCCACCAACCTCCGTGCCCGTTTCACCGACAATCTGGAAAGATAAAAGGGAGGCGTCGTAATCGGTGACGCACCGTTAGGAATTCCCTCTGGTGGCTGGCTTATCGCTAACGAAACATCGAACTCGCCAACCCCGCGAGTGGGCGCTAACACGACACAGACATTATCGTCGTCTTCGTTATAAAACGTCCCTCACACGGTTTCCACCTGGAAATATGTAAGCATTCGCCGTCTCGACAACCGGTCGAGTCCTTCCGCCAGCCTCGCTCAGATGAGAATTCTTAAGGAAATTGTTGATGAAAGGAACGACGAGAAGTTATGGTAAGTTTCCCCTCCTCGATCCGAGGAAATTAATAGGCGAGTATTTCGAAGAGGAGAGACGTGTCGGATGACGTTGAAATGGATAATCTGGTGATTTTAATTTTTTTTTTTGGTGAAATTGGTAAGTGTGAATGGACAACGAATGAAAATTATCACAGTTAGTTGAAGATTGGTTGAAAAGTGTACACTTTTTTTATAATACATTTTTTCTTTATGAATGTACAAAGTATCATTTTGTTCACTTTAATTTACTTATGAGTAGTATAACGATTCGTTTCAGAATGGATTAGAATATTTTAGTGATGAATGGAAAAACTTTTGTTAATTTTCTTAATTTTCCATCTTTTTATTTTCCAAGTGTAAATATATATTCATTACTTTTCAATCGATCCTCGTGTAAATTTTAACTCAACTTCCGAAACACCTAATCTTTGCATGATAAATTAATAGATTTAATAGTCGACAAACAAAAAGCTGATCGAAACTTATTTCTTAAATTATAATTTAAGTTTTAAGATGAAGCGAAAGAACATCACTCGTCTCATTTAAACTTAATTTTAGTATATCGACATTCATATTTGCTTTCTCTTGAATCGATCCTTCAAAAATATGTATAAAATTATGAAATTTGAACAGCTTTTAAAGAAAAATCATGTACGAATATTATTAAAATTTATACACGATATATGTTAGTACGTTTCAATACACTTCAAGCACAAAGAGTTAGTTTAAAAAAGCTATTACTGTACTCTAACCTAATGTAATCGAGATGAATGAGGGGCGCCGCGCGTTCCTCTAGCGAAGCGATCGCTTCCTCGGCATCTCGAGACGTTCTTCTCAATGAGGGATCCGTCAGGAGCCGACCGAGAGGCGTCAACGTGCCGGACAGGGTGGTGCACTCCTTCAGTTCTGACATTTCGAGGGCGAGCCTGCGACCAGCCGATTGCCATTCCGTCATCAATCCATCGTAGTCCTGTAAAACAATATTTCCGCGAGTGTAATAAATGTGAATTTCGATGATGAATGTAATTTTTATCTTCCTCTATTCTTGTACACGATATCAATTTGTATTTACAATAAAATATTAGGTTCAATCGTAATGGAATTTTCTTTTTTAAATTACAGTAGATACTGTAGTGACATTGAAGAACATGTTTTATGTATTTAATGCTACGATCATTAAATATGAAAAAGAATCTTTCAAGGAACGCTTTCAGAATGTGCAAGAAAGATACTTTCAGAATTGAAATAATTGAAAAGGAAAATAGGAAGAAATAATTACAATATGGCCACTAATCGACTTGTTGTAATAGATATGATTCATGTGCAAATTCATGTGCTATTCTCTTAACTGATGGTAGAAATTACTTAATAGCATTCTTCTATATTGAAAGGTTACATACAATATAAGAAAAAAAGTTCACATTCACTATGATGTTTAGCTCATTATGTTACAATAATAAAATACAAGAGACAATGATATAAATCAAATTTTTTGAAAATTTCTACTCATATTAGTGGCTAAATTATTGAAGTTACTTAATTGATTCGTCAATTGAAAGTTTCAACGATAAAAAGATTATTGTACTACGCAAATCATTCTCAGAGGATGTATCTTATCGATTGGCTTCTCGATCTTTCAAAATAATACAAATTATCCAATTTAATTTTCTAAATATTTTACACAATTCTTATGAATTAAACATATCGTGGTGTATATTTTTATTGTAATCAATTACGTTAAGATATCAATAATCAAACATATTTGAATAAGATAATTGCGTTATCACAGAGAATTATTCCCGAATCTTCTCGAATCTTTGTCATGGTTCAAATAAGGATTTAAAAGTTTAACAGATCTGGGATGATTTATCGTCGTGAGCAATTAGAATGAAAAATTATTCGCTAGAGCCATTTATCATACCCACGAAACGTATTAAATGTTTCGACATGAAAAAAGATATCGATTCGTAATTTGGGAACAAAAAGGAGAAGAAAAAGGAAAATATAATATATACACGAGACATTAAACTAATAATCGATCAATGACTAACTAATATTCAATGTATACATACATTTTCAACAAATGCAAAATTAAATCTCATCTTACATCAATTTCTATCTCTCTTTTAAAATTGATTTTCCAAATACTCCTCGCACTTATATCTTAACTTCACTCTGCGCAATAATAATTCATAATACATCTGGTTACGATTCTCGTCACCAGATGTCTCGTTAACAAGTGCTGACATCTAGAAGAAGCTGCCTTCCCAAAGATAATGTCCCAAAAGATAAAAAAGGAGGAGAGACCTTCAAGCGAACGAAATACACAAAAGACCGCCTCCTAATCCTCGTTCGCTTTCCGATCACACTTCTAAACCATAAATTATTTCTCCAACCATTAATTCAAACGTGAACACGTGTTCTCTACTTATCAATCACTCCACCATTCAACTATTACGATAATCGTTGTTTCACCCGGACGATTCTTAAGCGTCTCACGATTTTAGAACGTACAAAACTGTTCCTGTGTACGAGATTCTTCGAGAAAGAGACAGCCGACCAAAGAACGTGGAAGACGAATTCTTACTTTCCTATGTCGAAGAATCCTGTGTCGGCTATCTCGACGACATAGGATCGCGGCTCGATCGTTATTTACGAACATTTTCCACGCGCGAAATTTTCTCCTTGTAACGTTTCCCGGTCGATTATCGTTCGCAAGGTTGCCAAGTCAGCCAAGACTTGGAATTCCGTGCCGCTTTATCGACACTTGCCGACCGATGGGATTCGCTATTGCGCTATTTAAGCACAATGGCAGAGATAATAATAGGCACGGTGGTCGTTGGATGGCCACCAAGGACGATGTGTACAACAATTTATAAAGAAAAGAATTTCGTTTGTAAATTTCTTCGTATTCTTTTATTACGATATATATTAATTAACATTGAATAAATAATTACGAGATATAATATAATACGAGATATCGTTTAATAATATTTTTATATGCGATTATAAAAATTTGATGGTACGAAAATTAAGTATGATAAAGAAAAAAAGAAAATAGGAAAGTAAAAGGGTGTATAAATATTTTTTGCAGTGAAAAAGTTAAGAAGGATCGAATATAATTTGAAACTTCAACGTACTACTAATTTTCCTGATCCTAAATGTCATATTATTATGCTAATTCGGAAAACCCTATATATATCCTTAATTGTAGATCGTACAATTCCCAAGAAACATTCACTCGGCCCAACAAATCAAATCGGATGCGAACAGAACCGTGATAATAATTAACAAAAATTACTAAAAAAAAAAAAAAAAAAAGAGTTAATCATACAATTGCCAAGAAAAAAGTAACGAATTACTCGTAAAAACCGAATCCAAATCGAACGCAATAACTACATAATACTATAATCATACAAAATTATCAATTCAGAAAATATCGTACACGATATTTGCGTTGCTCGAAATCGAACACGAACAATCACGCATGGCTATACGCATGATCGGCGAAAATTACAAACCAGAATTCGAAAATCGTATAATCTTCGTTTCACAATTTGCTAATCCTTCACAGCTATAAAATAAAATACCGCCCAACTACGAATGCTCGACTCAAAATACACGAAGCGTATATATGTGTCGCGGAGAAGAAAAGAGATTCGAGAATCTCCGTGACCAATAGGAGAACGAAGACGTGTCTCCTCGTTTCTCCCCCCCCCTCCCCCTTTAACGGGACCCATTAAAACGTCATTAAGCGGTTTGGCCGTAGGTTGAGAGCCACGGATAAATTGGTAACATCGGTCAGTGCCACCGGGATAAATTCCTCGACAATAATTGCGCCGCGAGTCGAGGCGACCGATACAATTATTCCGCTCACGATCGCCCAACCATTTTTCATCCAACCTGCCGAATCACTGTCGTGATTCAGTCAACCGGGCCCGGCGAAATTCGTGCCCCGATTAGCGATGGGATCGAGCGGCTCGCGAGTGGATTTGAACGAATTCATTTCGCGTTTGAACTTTTCAAACTTTTTTACAAATAACTTAGAATTTTCTCATCTTAGTAATGGGTTCAGAATCAGCTTGTAAATAGTTTTTCAAAAGGAACGATACCTTTTCGAGGGTTATTTGTTAGGTTGAGAAATTTTTGCACGATCAAACGATATTATTGAAAAGGAAAAGAGTGTTCGATTCGATTTAAATTTGTTACGTATTTGATTCCATCGCTACCACTTTTTTCCCCCCTCGTTCTCTCATATGACGGGACACACTGTCGAGGCGTGATCATTTTCGGAAGCAATTTGTCGCGACTCTCGATTCGAGACGGATGAGCTTGCCCCGACTTGGCTGTCACTCGCTCAACTGCTTGCTTGTTAGGACGCTTGAACTCGAAGGTGAGGGTAAAGGAGGAGGAATCGAGAGAGTGGTTTGGGTTGGAAGAAGATTGAATATACCAGAGAAATCATTTTTTTCTTTTGCTTCGTGAGATGTCAGGGGATCTTGTCGTAAAGAAGAGTTATAGTAGGATAACATAATTTGTCAATATGGCCTTAGGCTTTTTTTCGTGGTTAAAGCATGATAAAAGGATAGTAACTCGAGGAATGTAGCTTGAAAATAAAGATTTTTCAGCTTTTATATGTTGGGATACAAAACATTTAGTTGATTATATTTTTTTATTGTTTTACTTAAACTACTTTTTCTTAAAATTTTTACGTAAATTCATTCATAAAATCTTTATTGGTTATTCTGTCTATTGTGATACCTTATTTATCATAATATGCCATATTTCGATTATTTTCAAACGAAGACGAATATATATTTAATATATAAAATTCATGATAAAAAATTACCTTAAATATCTCTTTGATTTTAAAATGAAATGAATAGCGTATCATCAAATTAAAAGTGTAGAAGACAAAATCTTTAAAACATGGTTATTAATAAAGTCAACTACTTTCGATCCTACAATCGAAATGAAAAATTTGCTGCCGAAATAAGGCTTTTAAATTTTTCATGTATTAAGGGGAAATAAAATATTACGCGGAGAAAAGTAATCTTTAAGATAAAATTGTAATAATTGTAATCATCGTTTCCTTCGATAAAGTTTTGAGTTAAAGAATTTTATAATGAAGATTCTCATAAATTTTTTTAAAAAAAAGTAAAAATAAAAATATTGAAAGTTATAATCTATAATTTGAAAGATAAATGATTAATGAAAAATTCAACTTAAAAGAAATATCAAAGCTTTAAAAAAATATTAAATTATCGATAACTAAAGAAAATTTATGTATAAATATTAACCTCTATAAATAACGAATGATAATAATTGACCCTTTACACAAAAAAGAAGTACACTCTTATGCAAATATATAATATAAATTTTAATACAACATATTTCTTCTAATTATTTTATCATAAAAAAGAACGTATTATATTATATCTCCTATCCTTTTTTACACGATCAAAGAAAAGTATAACAATCGAAGAAAGAAGAGAATAGAAAGTGGTAATGAAATAGTGGTTTCGATTTACCTTATAAAACGCAATCCATTGCGTCTGGTCGTGGCTCCGCTCCAGCCTGGGAATATGTTCTCTCAAAGCGGCCTCATCAACGATAGTCGTCTGAAAGCAAAATCGAAAAAACGCTTTTAACCCGTCCGACAAGAGAAATGATTCTTACAGCTGTGTCTTCGAAAACCGTGCTCGAGAAGAAACGATTTCTTTTATTCTCGTTGAGAACCGAGCAATCGAAATGTGTGTAACCAATAGAACGCATGAAGAATAACGTTTGGAATCGAGCGAACAATAATCGCGTTTGACCATGGAAAAGGGGCACGTTGAACGCGATTGCTTAATCCTTTCATCGTGAAAGACACACGCGCATGCTTAAGTACCATGGAGACCGTGTACTTCATCGTCCACCACGTATCAATGTTTCCATTGTAATTAATTCGGATCAGTTAATCCATTCTTCGATAGAATCTTGAAATTCCCTATCGATTCGTTTAACTCGTGAAAATTTATCCTCTTCTGTTTCATTACAAGTAAAATTTCATCACCAACACAATTGACCATAAAGTAATACATCGTAAACATTATTATTATTATTATTATTATTATTATTATTATTATTATTATTATTATTATTATTATTATTATTATTATTATCCATTATAATTAAATTCTCAACTTTGATACTTGATGAAATATAAAAAAGACAATTAAAAAAAACTTAAAAACTAAAGGAAGAGACAATTAAATAATATCATCATACGTCGTAAAAATCATAAAAATCAAATTGCTCACCTTGACGCAGCTCAAAGGTAGCTCCGAATTGATCGAGCTCTCGGCGAGCACACAACTCTGCACAACTATTGCTTGAGAAATGTTCGCTCGTCCCTGTAAAACGACAATCATCCCCTTCGTTATCCAATTTACCCCAACTTTTGCACATATAACACCCCCTCACCTGGACGAGTTTCAGAACCCTGTCGAGAAATTCCAAGCATTCGTGTCCTCGAACCAGAAGGGTGAATCCATTCTTGGTAACGTCGGAGCTGGAATCATAAAGAAAGAGATGAGAGCGGTCGATGACGAGGAATACACGAAATATAAATCTCAAGCGGGATGAATTATCTTTGGCATTCCGTGCGTGAGTCATCGTGATACGGTAGCTTGACAAGATCTCCCACGTGAGGCGGCGTGTCGTCGCGATTTCTCCTCCGAGTCATGCTCCGAGAGTGAAACGAGTCATTCGTCGTGTCGACACGTTCGCGCGCCGATTATAAGCGGCCCGAGGATACGACCTGATCCAACAGCGGGACGCTTGATCGTCTCGCTTTGACCTTCGAGCCGGATAATTGAATAATTTATATCTCTTTTCGAGCGTTTCCCTGTACTCGACTTGACGCGCTGTTGCCACACGGTGTATTTACGTGTAATCTCATACGATTACGAAGAATTTTTCTTCCTTTTTGTGTGCGTGTGTGTGTGCGCGCGCGCGAAGAACGAGCGGAGATGAAGGATTTAGAAATCAATCAATCAGAGCAAGTAGATGATAGATGTTAAAAATGAAATTTTTCAGATGATAATTAAATGCGTGTAAATTATTAATATCTTTCATTAGGCTTTTCTTAAATATTCATCTCAAAGATAAAGTTTAATAACTTTTTACAAAAAAAAAAAAAACTAACATAATTCCATCCGAGTGAAAATAAGATCAACATTTCCTAAGCCAGTTTTCGACGAGAGCACATTTAGAGCAGCACCACAATTAACCCGTTCCCCTGCGATTTTTATCCCTATCGTGTGTGTGTGTCCCTTGGAAGCAACGTTCCACTCGAGGATTATATCAAGAGTATCGAGTGAGAGAAAAGCGTGTCACGATCCTGCATTAAGCCGCGACACGTGGGTGGTGCGCGTAAGTATGTGTATAGCGTTTCTCACGCGGCTCCAGTGGCACAACAGCCCATATTATCCTCCCCTCGACCCGTTTTCGTGCGCACGGCAATCACGCATCCACTACTCCTCGGTGGCGTACGAGCCAAGCGGCCACAATGCCGCTTTAATCCGCCTCGAATCTCGTTTCGCCATACAAGCTTTCATTCAGCACCCCTGTTCTATTCGATCGAAAATCGGTCTCGAGACGGTCTGTCTTAATCTTCCATTCACCTTACGGAACGGGGCAGGGGAAAAAATTGACTCGGCCAGACGGAACATTCATTCGGAACATTTGGTCAGACGTTATTCAGATTAGTCGGACGATAATTAATTTTTCTTTTTTTCTTCCAAGTACTTTGATAGAAACGATTTATCCATATTGAACCCTTCGTGCTATGAGTCTGACTCGTTGAATGAATTTTTGTCAGTTCCAATTTAGTTTGATTTAGTTTTCACCACGAGAAGATCACGATTCTTATAATCTAAAGCAGAAGCGAATGTGCTAGTGATTTTAGTTTTCGAAGTGAGATTTGTACAAGATAAGAAACATTTACGCGTTTGTATATATAAGAAAGCGTTTAAACCACGCGGGACTATTAATTTTTAAATGATTCATTTCTTATAATAAAATTTTTCCTTATAACATATTATTTATTTTTTAAGCGTAGCATTATTACATCCCTATAGAACAAAAGCACATTTCAAGACTGTAATTTCTATTAAAGTATTCTTATTTATGAAATATAATTTTGAAACTGTTATTTCTCGTTTATTAAAAAATAATCATTTATTTCTATACTTGTATTTCGACTCGTATCGCAACTGTTTTCGAGCATCATATTCATCCGTCAAATCGAACGAGCGATTCTGCAGTTTCGTTTGCCAACAATGGATCCAAAGATGGATACCTGTTAGAATGCACGAGTAGACAGTTACAATCGAATTGTAAATCCACGCGTGTCATCCGCGACTCGGTGTTAGGGGTTAATTGAGAGCGAGTGGTCGCCTATAAGCAACTTTCTATGGAAAGCGCGGTGAGGAATGCGTAGTAAATGCGTTTCTGCGTTCGTGCGAGTCTTTTTTCGTATCGGTTGGAAGACGGAATGCGTTAAATTCCTCGCGCTTCCGCGGTTTCCCGAGGAGGATTCCTCTCCTCGTTTCGAGAAGGGCAGTTACACACTGTTGGACAGTTGACATTTGTTTGCGGCGGCGGCCCCGAGTTATGGATCGTAAAACGTTCGAGGCGGCAGCTTCCCCTCGATTCCCCTCTCCTCCACTCGGTATCGATCGGGCCCGATGTTTTCAGGCGAGGGCTTTTTATAGGAAACGTAAATTTTAACGCGAATTACGGTTTTCTCTCCGCGGCCACGATGAAATTGCCTTTTAAACGGACGAGTATATATTACTCGCGCGTTTTATTCTGCCGTTCCTTCCACCTTGACACTATTACTTATACCATCCAATTAGGCTCTCTCGCGGTGTCCCTTCGCGCGCGATCACGAATGCGACCGGGGAAAAATCGGCCCGCTTATCGAGGCGATCGACGGTTCAGGGAACGCGTGACTAACTGTTCCGTGACGCTGTGAACGTATCATTACCGTGCATGAAAACAGCTCGTAAATTCAATAAATACGGATACGAGCGCGGAACAAGACGAAGCGGATCCGTATACGATAGCCATCGGATCAGTCCCTCTTGCTTTCCATCTCTTCTTCGAGACGAATCTCGAGAAACTAAATTTTCAATACTACTCTGTTTTGTTCGAATGGTTAGGATTTAATATTATAGTTGGGTGGCTTGCATCTCGATGAAATCGTTTGCGAAATTGAGGCTATCGATCTCCAAATATCACTCTCTCCAAACTATTTAATTTTATCACCTTACGTATTACTTTTTTTTGTGAAAAGAGGAAGAAGAGTTTATTAATCGTGTTATATATAGCCAATTAAAGTTAAGTAAGTTCGATATAAAGAATATTTATCCAAGAAGATTATAAGAAGGAAAAGGAAATATACAATATTAAAAAATGTATCTTGCACAAGTCTACTTAATTTATTTTGAGAATAGTACAATCGATATAGAAACAATCGAAGGAAGTACGACACCTGTTATACAGATGGATATTTCTCAGATTGACGAAACGGAAATGCAACTTGTAATTACCATGCTATTATCGAACGTATAAACAGGTCATCTTTGCAGTGAAATTTGCCATCGATGGGTCTGTTAGCATGGAAAGAAATACCGCCATATTGAATAATTTTGTTGGGATTGTTATCGAAACATAATCGACATTTATTCATATACTCGAACCTATTTTTTTATTTTTTTTCTAACACGTGAAAAAATGTATCGTAGAAAGTGAAAGTAAAATTCAATCAACGATTACTGACACGGTCGACTAATGTTTCAACGAAACCATGAAATCGTTGATTATAAATCGTTAAACATCGAATATAGTTCAATATTTTAATAACGTACGATAATAACTGTTTAAATTAAATTATCAAAAGTCTTACGGATTTAAATCCAATATACGTTTCAGCGAAAATATTCATTTTCCATTAGTGAATGATGCTGTGCACATTTCGATATATTAATTTCACTTCCATATTTGTACACGTAGTATATGGACTTCCATTAGCAGGATCACGATTATGGTCTTGATAAAGACATGAATAATTTATTAATATGTAAAAAAATCTTTTTTACAAAAATCGATTAAGATTTATTTATTTAAAAAAATTGTGACAATTGAAATTTGTGATAAATCAATCTTTGCATTACTTTTGACTTATAAAACAATCTTGCAAAGATATCCTAGAAACAAATTAACACCTTGTACGATGCAATTATCATTCCAATTTTTCAACAAATATAACAAAATCTAGAATACTTAACCGATGATGTATACCTGATTATATTATATTATTAATTACAAAGTAATTACTCTCATCCAATTTTGCTTTAATTGATGAACCTAATGTTTGTAATAGTTTTTTATTTTTATCATTTTATATGACAAGTGAAAAATATTATAAACGTAAAGAAAGCGTACGGTATATTTTATTATTGTTAAGATTTTCAGTTACATGATTTTATGACACGGTCAATACAATTGCTATTATGTAAGAAAGGACTAGCATTTCTGCCATCTGGATGCCAATACTCGGATGGTACGTGACTCAGGCATCATTTTCGAATTAGACAATGCAGCGTAGTCTTTTGGTATTTTTTCCTATTTCAATAGCAAAAATCCTGTCGTAAATCTCAAAGTTCCTAGAAGGTCGAGTTGTTGCTGAATGACCTCGCGTTCGACTCGTGCATCCTTTACAACGAAAGGCCTCTATCCCTCCGGGAATTGAATGTGCCGAGGGTGTAATGGAAGAAGGGATACGAGAATTTAAAAAAAAAAGAAAAAAAAACCTTATAATTTAAGAAATGAAATCATAGTTTTGTATCAAAACAAACGCATAGTGCCATTTTATAACTCATTAAAGTTTTATTGCAACTTGTAGATTTAGAATTTTGGTTATATTCAAAAATTCAAAAATTATTTTTGTTACAATTTATAATTATGTTATAAAAAAAAATTTCAATTGCAACTGTGTATATTTTTAATTCTAAAAAAAAGAAAAATACATGTTCATCTATAAGAACGTTTTACAGTTCCATATCACATATCACACGCGCAGTTCAAGTTTGATAAGAATATGTACAACCTGTTGTTGGACCTCGACTCGTTTAAAATTCTGATAAGAGTGGCTTCGTTAACACGATAATTGTCAAGCGAAACATTCCATCAAGTTCTTAATACACCTGCATCGGTGGATCAGCATACAGATCTCCCCATTGAAATTGCAAACTACTTGATAAGTATTTTTAGATGCGGAACTTCGAGCAACGACCGGTATAAATTCTACACGCAATTTCACTTAAGTGCGCATGCAAAATTTACAAATATCTATTAACTTTAAATTCAGAAAAGTTTACGAAGTATCAATTATTCCTAAGGATCAGAAGAAAATAAAGGGCATTATTATATAAGATATAAATGTAGAATAATTTTCTTTTATTTTAAAATCATCAAGTGGAGTCTTATAACGAAAGAATGATT